TTCAAGAAGGACTGTCCAACAGAGAAGAACGACGGGGAAGCAGGAGAAGTTTGACCTCAGATAATGGGGAAGCATCAAAGAACCCTGCTATATTTTGGTACGCTTCCAAACCCCAATGATTGTTTATAATTATGATTACTCTCTCGATCAAATCAAATCACAACATTCTTATAAAATCTGAAGCCCTAATAGTAAGCTATGATGGCTTAGTGTATACATTAGGGTCAATTATAATTAAGATCTGTAGACTTAGAGTGAGTAATCCCGCCACATTTCCTGTTCTTTGTTTGGTTGTGGATTTAGGGCAGGGTTACTCAGTCAAAGGTCTTACCAACTTTAATTATATATGACTTGTATACACCAAGCTATTACAAAGAGACCTAGTAAGAATCATTTCATAAAGAGTCCATAACTTCAAAGTATCCGAACCCTCGTATTAGTAGTACCTGCCAATTTCAAATCAAAACAAACCCCCAGGGACACCAATGTTCTAACAAAACGTTCTTTCCGAACTAACTTAACACGCGATCCCACGACGTCATTCCGCATAGTCCGACTAAGTTTACGTCCTACCAAACCCATATGTCACCGAGGAGACCCTTTGCCTTAATATCAAATACCAAGACTCTCATCACTCATAACAACCAATTAAATGCGAACCTCAGAATCATCTTTCACTTCGAACCTTGGAAGTACTCATGCGAAGAATACCTTACCCTCCGAAACCCTTCCAAATTATACCCAACAAACCCTCCAAGGCTACCACTCGTCTGTTGGGTCAAGTATAAACTTATAGACTAAGGCAAATCCATAATTAAGAGATAGACAAAAGAGTCGTAATGATAAGAGACGAAAACCTTTGGAGTTCCAAGTTAGTGACCGTGTTCTTTTGAAGGTCTCTCCCAGAAAAGGGCACGATACGCTTTGAAAAGAGTGGAAAGCTAAATCCAAGATACGTAGGACCATTCGAGATTTCCGCTAGGATCGATTCCGTATCATACAACTTTCGTTACCCCGACAACTTAGCCGCGTATATTTTGTCTTCCATGTGTCGAACCTAAAGAAGTGTATGTCCGATAAGACACTTGTATTTTTCCCTCGATGAGATTGATCTAGACGAGAACCTTAACTTTACGGGGGAAACTAGTAGAGATCATGGACCGAGAGGTCAAACAAATGAAGTAAAGTTGTATCCCGATAACGAACGTTCGCTGGAATGCCAAGTGAGGACTTGAATTCACTTTAGACCGCGAAAATTTAATGAAACAGAAGTACCCTTATCTATTTCCAAGTTTATGATTTGTATTCAGTGTCTGAATTTCGGGACGAAATTCCCTCTAACGGGGGGATGATGTGACAACCCGAAACTTTTTCCATTTCCGTCAATCAACTTCCGTTAATAAAAATTTGAAATTTTATCGAGTCTCGTCAAATTCCTTCGGTTTGGAAAAAAATCATTAGTTATATAATTGAACTTATATACGAGTAGGGACCAAATACCGTGTGAAATTTGAGTTTTCCTTCGATCGAAACAGCTGTTTACGGCCTGACTGGAGTTTACAGCCGTAAACCTGTTTACGGCCGTAAACTCGTTTGTGGCAAATTGCAGGTGGACCCCACCCACCGACCATGGAACCCCCCTATAAATACGTGTCCCTACCCCTCATTTAGACTTTTCTGGCCGAAAACTCTCCTTCTCTCTCTCTACCTCTCGACCGTAAACTCCAAAACACCCTCATTTCTCCCAAAAAATCATCAGGAAACACTTCTGGAGGTTGTCTAAGAGCATCTAAAACCCGTTTTCATCGAATCCAACATCCTTGTTCTTGAGTTTACGGCCGATCTTCAAAGGCCGTAAACCCGTTTACGGCCAATCTTCAAAGGCCGTAAACCTAGTTCACGGTCGTAAACTGTCTATCGGCCGTAAACCACTCTTCACGGCCGTATACCCCCGTTCACGGCCGGAAACTCTTCACGGCCGTAAACCCCACTTCACGGCCGCAAACCCTTCCTAAGCGGTGAAAGCTCGTTTTCTCGATTCAAGCAAGTTCTGGTAACATTCCTTAACCGAAAGCAAGTGTTTTCCTAACACTTTATCTAACGAAATAGCTAATTTAGATATGTATATATATTTAATTGTTATTAGGATTCCGTTAAGTGTCTCACACTACAACTCGAGGGTCTTCATTCTAGATCGTTTAATTCGACGCTTGTACACAACTAACAGTGAGTTGATACCCGTACGCTTTTACGATCTTTAATGTTTTCAGGGGGGAATACAAGCCAAAGACAAAGGATTTTATTAAGTTTTAAACTTACTAATATAGTTCAACGATTCCCACGTTTAATAAAATATTTAGATATTTTATCCCTTTTGTACTATGTTGAGCATAAGGGACACTTTTATTTTTGAAAACATAATTTCATAGTTTTCAGAATAATTTTACAAAGCAATTCCGTATCATTTTAAGTAAACTATAATGGGTATAGTTGGGAGAATTCAATATACAACTTGTACCAATTCAAATTTCATTCATGAGTAAATATATAAACTATGACAGATTTAGTTTATGATATATATATTTTCACAGGAGTATAATATTTAATAACTATTTAAGTATAATTATTACTTTATACAACATTCAACGGATTCAAATACAAGAGAATAATACTGAATCACACGTAAACTAGTTAATAAAGGATTGTGAGACCACTCTTCATTTGTACCCTTCTGGGCACTGGTAAAAATCCTCAACGTATAGTGTAACCAGAGTCTCCTGGAGGGAGAGCGTGAGATTTGTGAATAGATTTATTCGGGACTGACAATCCCACACCCGAACTGTTAGCTACAGTTAGGCAGGCATGCCTGGGGTGACAAATATCATACCATACGACGCCTGAAGAACATCGCTGAGGTCATCAGTCATATCAAGCATGGTTATACGAACTCACAATAGTATAAACTAATCATTTATTTACAGGATTTCAATCTTCATTAGTTTATTTTAAGTAATGAAACTACTTTTATATACTGATAGTAGTCAGGGTTTCCAAAAAGATCAATGCATAATCAATATAAGTATGGTAGATACTTGTACTTTTCGAATTAGAACGAATAATTCAATAACCTACACTTAAGGAAAATATAGGATTTTCCAGGGTAAACATCGGTATCTTATAAATAGATGGTTTATTATTCTACTAACGGATATTCATATTAATTCCATGACTCCTTAATTTATGCCTCCGAGTTACGCATGAAGAATACCCGGTAGACTGTGAAATGGGTGTTTTGGCCTTATTCCCTGTTCCTTGTTTGGTTGTAGGTTTAGGACAGATCCACACAATTGACTGTCTATTTGCTATTGGTTTATGCGCAACTAGCATGAACTAAGAGGTCATAGAAGGAATGGGTTTAATCATACTTTTCATAAGAAAATAATGGATTTTCTTGAGGAACACTTTTCAAAAGGAGTAAAGAACAGTTTCTTTTAAAACTAAATGCTTATGAAACTCACCAGCTTTTGCTGATACTTTCTTTCAAAACCGCTTGTATTCTCAGGATTCTAGTAGACATGTACACCTTCCGAAGCTTTTGGGAAGACTGCTTCGTTTCGTACTGCGATTCCTGTCTTTTTCTGTACCTACTATAATGTTTGAATATGTAATGTTTAAATACTTATGTAAAACTTATACTTATTAATGCAATGGTTGTTTGTACTTTGATTACTATAATGCATGTGTTGTGATACTTACATGACGTCCTCCGCCCCCGAACGTTTCCGCCGTTCCGGTTTGGGGGTGTGACATATGTCTTATGTGCTTATATGTGTATTGTGATATCCTGCATTATTTCTTTGTGATTTATGTTGTGTATTACTCAGAGCTTACAGAGTTAGGACCGGAGGGTCCACAGAGTTAGGACTGTAGGGTCCACAGAGTTAGGACCGGAGGGTCCATCAGAGTTATGGGACTGGGGGGTCCCACTGAGTCACATTGACCGGAGGGTCTTACAGAGTTATAGCCTCGAGTGGCTAATGTGTTGTATGTGGTATTTTGGGGAACTCACTAAGCTTCGTGCTTACCATGTTATGTGATATGTGTTTCAGGTACTTTTTATGATATCGGGAAGGCGCCGGCTCGGTTGTACACACGAGAGCAAGAGTTACTTTTGGAAGATCTTGGATTTGTGATAAGCAATCATAAAAATAAAAATGTATTAATAAATTGTCACTTGTGGTTTTGAGGAAAAACGACATGTGCTTTATTGTGTTTGAAATGAAAATTTTGTTTGAAAATTACGGTGTTACAACTTCCCCCCAAGTTTGTTGGTGGTCTTATTTTATGTTGCTATGGGCGGAGATGGAACTGTCGGCGTACGAGGAGAAAAAAATCATGGTTCTAATGGGGGTGATCAGGGGCGTTCCTGTTAAGGTTCCCAACGCGGTATGCCGATGGTTGAGATTGGGGTTGATGGGTTTCCGATGTTGCTGAGTTTGGAGCTTCCGTTAAACCTTGATGGCCAGGGACATTGCGTGATCCACCGATAATGGGTCCAAGAGTTGGACCTCAGACATAATTTCATCTTGTAACCCATTAATGAATTGGCCCAAACTAATGTCATCGGGTATGTTGTTTAATGGGGCAAGTAGTTCGATAAAGAGCGTTGTTAATCTAAAACTGACCCGGTTTGAGTTAGGGCAAGCCATTGTTGATGCAACGTTCCTGCATTCGTCGGACGGAACTGGCATAGGAGGAGAGATTTCATCTCTTGCGAGCGTGTGACGGGACGACGTTTGTGCTCCCATTGGAACCACAATAAGGCATCACCTTCAAGGCTACCATCGTCGCTTCCAGCTTATCAGCTTCAGAGAGTTTGTAAAGTTGAAGTAACATTATGCTCGTAAAATCCACCCATCCGAGTTCTCGCCATCAAACAATTTTATATCCAGCTTTCAAAATCTCCAATTCGTCACCCCACCATACTCGCCTCCCAGAGTTCATCCGCCTCCGTCCCTGTTTCCACCGGATCCGCCCATGGTGCCCTGTCGTGAACCCCCGTTGTACTCCTTTGGTGGTCCTTTCGGTGTCTCCAACACGGAAAAAATGGGCTTATCCGCAACCAAATCTTCTCCCGTTTTCTTTCCTTTGATGATAGCACTCAAAATCTCTTCAAACTTCTGGTCCATCTTAATATTCATCGATGCCAGGGAGTCCGCATGGTTTCGTATCTGATGCCCTTGTGTATCCATTCGATTATATAGGTGCCCAAGCTCTTTTTCCAATGATTCCACCCTTTTGAATGGAGCTCCTCCCGTCTCTTTTCCTCCAGCCATGACCCCATGGAAGGGCTCTGATACCAATTTTTTATGAACTCAAATTATCTCTAGATAAAAATAACACCACAAACTGTTGGGATAACAATACTTTTGGGATTAATGAACGAAAACACAGATTACACAAGAGAATGATAAAAGAAAGAACGAAATAGAGATAGCAATTCGACCAGCTACGGACTCCCAAAGAAGTAGAAACTTCTAATATCCTTCCATGAAAAACATGATGCTCCCCCACTACTCCTTATAACAGGAAATCAACTTTTTGTCCTTAATTCCTATTTTGCTCCTACCCTCCCACCATGTCAGCAGAGTCCTTGTGGCTGCTAGTGGTCCCTTGCTCTGCTGGAATCTTTTTCTGTTTTCTCCTTTGATAGGTAAATTGAAGTGGTGGGTGCACCACAGAACCACCACTGACCACCTTCGACAACCACAAGAAAAGCTGATGAAATTAAAAACATACCTTAATAAAAATAAAATAAAAAACAAACCAAATCAAAATAGCAAAACAAACCATCAAAACAAGATAACGTAAATAAAACAAACAAGCACACATCAAAAACCAACCAAAACCAAAATTAGAAACGAGCATGTAATTAAAATCTACCATCAGCAAACTCCATTTTTCAGAAAACCCATTAACAACAAAAATCAACAAAAAAACCCCTCACATGCTTCTCATTTTGGGTACATTGTTATGAAATCTGAAATCAATACCCCATCAATTCTTAAACCTAAAAAAACCCTATCTGCTTCTCAATTTATGCACAATATGAGGCAAGCGATGGTGGTGGCTCTACTTTCCTTCTCTTTACAGAAATTTCTCATTTGTTCGTAGGTCAGGATCAAAGGGAATAGATGGTGGTAGGTGACAGAGGCTGAGAGAATAAGAGATTATGGTGGGTGATGTTGGTTGGGAGAAGATATAGTGTAGGTGACTATAGTGCAGCAATATAGAAAATAAGAGACATATCTAGTCAAGAGGGTGAGTGGTGGTCAAGGCGTCAAGCGAGACGAGGTGGTGTTCGACAAGCCGCATGAAATCCATAAAAGGTGATGGTAGACGACAGTGACGGTAGCGAAATCGAAAATATCAACAATATAGATATAGAATGGAGGTGTGTAGATCGGTGATGGTGGTAGGTGGTGGTAGAGTGTAGATCGGCGACGATAGGTGTTTGATTATGGTACACGACAACAATCAAGCTAAGTGGTTGAGAGAGAGTTGTATTTAAGTGATTTAGGGTTTAAACACCTATGAGAGAGGGAGGGAAGTGATTTAAGGATTAAACGATTAAACGATATATATATATATATATATATATATATATATATATATATATATATATATACACACAGAGAGAGAGAGAGAGGTCTATTTGTTAAGGAAATATAAATGATAAACAAATAACAAAAAATAAAAATAAAAATAAAAAAATGCTTGCTTTTTAGTAAATATATAAGGACATTATAGTTTTTTTTAGGTATGTTACGGATGTTACGAACGAAACATGCAAGTTTATAACTAAGTAACTAACTTATGATGGTCCGAGTGATAAACAAAACATAAGCATGAAATGTGGGCCAACCCACAGTGACGATTTGTTTAATTTATTCTAAAATAAAATTTTAGTTCCTCAAATTTCTTTTAATTTGCCAATTTAACAAGTTATACACATACCATATAAATAAATAAGAAGTCATTTAAAAAAATTGTATTTTAAGTACATATTACACCAAGTAAGTTTAAAGAGTTTTATCTAGTTTGAGCCCTTTAGTTTCAAATGTGTCTAAATCTGTCTTGTAATCGAAACTTATCTGAATACAAGTCTTTTTATCCATTTATGTTTTTGTTGTTCATCATTTATTAACTTCAAGCTTTCAAGCAAGCTTCGTTAAGATTCAACGGAGTATCACTTTACTTTTATTATGTTTATTTAGTTTATGTTGTTCTTATATCTATGTATAACTTGTTCTTAAATTGCGCATCTTAATTTATTGTTGAGCTACTTAAAGATCCACGTTAACTTATTCTACAACATAATCTTTTCATTAAAGTTCTTCTCTCAACAATTTATATCTTTCGTTCTCTATTATTATAGGACCCAACATCTTACCCACCTCTTTCCTTCCCGTCATGTAAATGATGTTGTGACATCCATATCTAGTTCAACCTTGGTGGAACCACCACTTACCACCTTTAACAACCACCTCTGGGAACCACCTTCGAAAACCACAACAAAACCTAACGAAATTAAAAACAAACCTTAATACAAATAAAAATAAAAAACCAACTCAAAATAGAAAAACAACCTGACTCGAAACCAAGCTAACAAAAAAAACACATAAAAAACCAACCGAAATCAAAACCATAAACAAGCATGTAACTAAGATCTACCGTCGAAAACCTTCATTTTTTGGAAAAACCATAAACAACAACAAATTAACCGAAAAACCTCCACCCATTCTCAATTTTGTGTAGATTCTTATGAAAGCTGAAATCAGTACCCCATCAAATCTGAAACCCACGAGAAACTATGTCCGCTTCTCAATTTTGTGCACAATCTGATGAGGGACAGACAAGCGATGGTGGTGGATCTACTTTCCTTCTCTTTATCATTTGGTTGGAGATCAGGATGAAAAGGAATAGATGGTGGTAGGTGACGGCGGCTGAGAGAAGAATAGATTGTGGTGGGAGACGCCGGCGGGGAGAGGAGATAGTGTAGGTGGCTAATATGACCTTACTTAACTATATATTTTAGGCCATTTTCTTAATAAATTAATCTAAAATATTATATTTTAAGATATATGATACTTAATATGCTTTGAAATCTTCATTTACAGTTAAAATGGGAGATGGGATCTGTAACACCAGTGTTCCAGGTAATTTTCTTTTCTAGCTTCATTTCTTACAAAGTTGGAAAAATTGGTTCCTACGTTAGGCGTACGAGTCAGGTACGTCGGGCGTAGGACTTTGCATGTGATCGCAAAGTCTTTTACGTACGATGGGCGTATGCAAGCAAGGGACACACCCTAATTTTTAGGGTTTGAATTTTATTTAAAGACCTTATGGCCTCTAACCCTTCTTACCTCTCAGCCTGTATCTTTCCTAACCTCTATTTCGAAAAACCTAATTGAGTGTATGTGTGTGTGTGTGTTTTGAAGCCTTAGAAGGTCATTTTGGGTGTTCTTGGTGGTGAAGGAAGACTCTTGAAGTTGTGGTGTTTCACTTAAGCCTTTGGATCCAGTAATCACTCTCCCTTGTGCATCTTCTGGAGGTATAAAGCTCCAACGTTGATGCATATTGCTTTAGATCTTGTTCAAGCTTAGAATTATACACCTTTTTGTCCTAAATATTGATCCTTGTGAGTATGGAATACTCCAGGACCTTTAAGTTGACATTTCAGACGTTCTAGGGTGTATTAAGTCATAAAAATGCAAGCTTGGACCTTGGTATTCTTCCATACAAGAGTATTGAATTTTTAAATGGTTGAATGAGTTAGGGTTTTGATGTTGGGCTCCTTGTAGCCATGCAAAGGCATAAAGGTTGAAAATTTATGGCCTTAGTCATTTTATTAAGCCTGGATCTGAAGTTAGACGTGAAATCTTAACGCATTAAGACCATTTGGTGAGAGTTTGGGATTTACCTAGTTAAGTCATGAATAGGAAGGGCAAAAAAGGTCTTTTTCCGTTAGTTAGACATCGAATGAATTAGACTTTCGTTTATAGGTTAATCCCGATTATTAATTAGGGTTATTATTAGGATATGTTAGTATGAGGAGTCGTGTCAGCACCAACCCGAGTGTGCGATTCAGTTATCTCCAGTTAGAGGTGAGTCTCCTCACTGTATCCATGGGTCGAATGCACCAATGTCGACCCACAAGATTTAGTTATGTATCCTTGTGTTTAGGATGATGTTGATTGTAGTGAGTTTTTAGATATATTTACATCCTTATGTGTTAGGATGCAGTAGTAGTAGTATGCTAGTTAGAGTACTAGTAGGCTAGTTACTTATGGCTATGCTTTTTCATGGAGATTTGCTGGTAGTAGAGTAGTGTGATGTAAGGGGTCTAGTAGGCGGTAGTGAGTTGTATGATTGGTAGTTTCTTGTATTTTTGTGTCTGTTGATTGGTTATATGTCGGCATATTGTAGTAGTTGGGTTAAGGCAGCAGGCCAATAAACCCGGGGAGCAGTTGGGTTGAGGCAGCAGGCCAACAACCCATAGAGTAGTTGGGGTCGAGGTAGCAGTCCAACACACCCAGTATGCATGTTGTATATATGTATTTGTTGTGTAGGGTATTTTGGGTAAACTCACTAAGCTTCATGCTTACCTAGTTGTTAATGTTTTCAGGTATCATCAGTGAACGTTGAAAGACGAAGGCGTGACTATACACATTCATCAACAGCAACGAAGATTTCGCGTTTTAGTTAATACTCTGATTTTCAATAATGTGCTATGGGACAAATGGTTTTCCATAACTTGTATTATGAAAATGAGTAGTTTTACCTTAATTAAAAATGAAAAATTTTATCTGAGAAAATCGAATGTTACAAGTTGGTATCAGAGCCCTTGTTTGAGGGATTGTAATTCCAAACTTAAACTATGGAGCTGAGAGTTTTTCTAAACCTTTTTGAATAATATTCGTTCAAGAAAAGAAAGGAGAAGACGCGATGTGTATTGTCAGCCGGAGCTCGAAAAGTGATTTCCCAAAATATCCATACTTACTTTATATGTTGTATTTAACTTGTTGTTATATGTGTTATAATATGATGTGCATGCTATAATTAGGCTAAGGATCTACTCAGGTTGCATACTAGAGTGCTTGCTTAGGAGAGATACCTTTTTTTGTGATATCTGAGCTGTTAGAGATGTTGGATATTGTGTGGGCTAAGGATTCTCAGGAATTACGTGTTAGAATATCCTGATCCTTTTGATATTTTGTTGCTTATTGATGTTAGTTAGCTATTAAGTGAATATGTTAAGTTACCGTTGTGGAGT